TGCTGTTCATCAGGTTTTCACAAGAACTGGTTATAACTCAAGGTTGAGGTGTTGCAGTCCTGGTGAGAACAAAGCTTTCCTGGAGGACCTGGTAGCCGAGTTCATGCCTTGCATCTCCTGTGAGAGCATGCTGTGCTCTGCCTGTTTGAACTCTTACCTTTATGCACTTCTAGATTCACTTTCAAGTGCATTTCTGTTGACAGTGATGGCAACTAAGGAAATAGTGCAAGAAAGAACGTAATTCAGGTAAAAACAACTCACTCAGCGAAGCTTCAAAGTCACTTTTAATATATGAACTAGTTGGCAATTCTCAGCTGCAGAACTTTTCATTTGGTGTCATCTTTGGTACTCTGAAGATAATCCTGTTGAAAGGATGTTATCCCAAGAAAGTGGTGGTGAGTCACTAAATCTGAGGTGGCTTGTTAAGAGCGAACTTTGTGTTTTGGTGCAGAGAAAAGTCAAACTTGTCTGCCACCTCTCTAAATATGGGTCTTAACTTCTCAGATGTTCAGTTTGTAAGTCTGGAGGCTTTTGGTGAGGTGTTCTTTTTCACTCTGAGGAAAGCAGTCTGTCTTTCAAACGTCTCTTAATTGAAAACTGCCACTTAATACAGCTGGGGGGACGCGAGGAACTCTGTATGACATTGACTTAAACTTTGACTTGTGACTTGCTAAGCTTAGAATCACAGAGTAGTTGAGGTTGGAAAGGAGACCATACTCCAACCCTGCTGAAGTGAGGTCAGCTTCTTTAGCTCAGTGTCCTTCCTCCTACTAGATAGATCCAGTCCTGCAAACAGTGAGGAAAATCAGTAGGTTGATTCTTGGCTGTGACCCTTAGCATTGCTTTAAGTTCCAAAATTGATGTGATTAAGCCTGTTGGGTAAACTTCTCCATTACAAACCTGCTGTTTCTCACAGCTTGTGGCTCTGCTGTCTTGGTGAGGTGCTTAATTGCTCTATTATTGCTTGTTCTTAAAAATGGAACACGTTAGAGCAATCAAGCACCTCACCAAGACAGACAGAAGTAGTAGTAACTAGCTGGCTAATCTACTTAAGAGAAAAGTGAATTTCAGTAAGAGTTCTCTTGTGACTTCTGACTGTTGGCAAGCATCCCAAGTGACTCATCTTTAAAAACACTACAGAATTTGCAACACTTTATTTACTCAATCACAGAGAAGCTCTGAATATTACTGAGCAGACATTAAGGAGACAGATATACATGGAAAATGTCATCTTTCCAGGCTCAGTGAAGTAAGAGTATTAAGTTATAATTCGTTGCTTTCAAGTGATAACAAATGCAATGTGAATTTGTCAGGGCATCAAGCCTGGTTTCTCTTAACGATGAGAGAAAGCTTTAAAATCTCTTGGTATTTTTGTCAAGCTTTAATCCCATCTTTTTTTAGAAAATAAACTTGTTAAATAGTGTGAAGTAGGAACCTTGAAGAAACGTATGGGCTCTGTAAATGGGAGGATGTAACTCCAGTCTGACTCATGGAATTTGCAAAACACAGTGGGAAACAGACTCCAGCAGTAAGTGTCTCATGCCTCAGAGTTGAAGTGAGATGTATTGGACACTGTTTAAATTCCATAAAACCAGATAGTAATCATAGTGTCTTACTCAGTAATCATGCTGCTGTATTAGCTCTTTAGTGCTTTCACAGAATACCTATAGGTACACTGCTTGCAAGTATCCTCTGAGTATTTTTTATGGCAGGCTCTCTTGTTTACTTTTTGATGTTTTCTGCTCTACTCAGGTCTGTTGAGACTCTTCAAGGTTTTGTTCCTGGAGACAAGCGGGAATAATCACTTAATGATGTCTTGCTTCTGTTGTGACTGCTTTTTGCCAGTACAAAAATTCTACTTTCCCTTCTCCCTGAAGTACAAGTTACCAAGCTGAGAGCAGAGTAGGTGGTAACGCTGGTGATGTATTTTTGTGATTTCTGGGGGTGGCAGGGGGAATACTGGGAAGAGGACTAGGAAGACCAACAGCAGTGCCTAGGAGATATGAGCTGAACCAAATGACATCTTCAGAGCTGCCCTACTAGCACACCATGCTAGGTTATTCTTGTAGAATAGCTTCATTTTATCAAATTGTTCTGACTTCTAAACATTACACTTGCAATGAATTTGCAGTCATCTATATACAGGATGTGTGAGACTTAAGATTAATATAGTTAGTAGATCCCAAATCTGATGTAGCTAAACATACTAAATGAACAGGCTATGAGGTACAATGGTCTACCATTAATATGCTCTTTGAAGTATGAATATTTTTATAAAAAAAAATAAATTGCGTAGCAGTGTTGCAAGTCCTTGAGCAAGTAACAGAGAAGATGCAGGTCTTGTAGGGAGAGAAACCTTCCCAAAGTGAAAAGTTGGTCTGCCCTAAAGTGAAGTCAATGAGTCTGATCCCTTTGGACACAGGGAAGTAATGAATACACTGCTGAATACAAACTGCTCAGACTTCAGTTTTAACTTCTGTCACTGCTGGAGGTGGTCAAATCTGTGTTGTCTTTATCCATAGCCTTTCTCAAACAGGGAGCAGAGGTGCAGTTGCTTTCATGTGGCTGAAGTGATGGCCTGCACCAGGTCAGATCTCCTTGAGGAGGATGCCTTCTGAAGGTGGTGTAGCCTCTGGCACTGCTGCCCACCAGAAGCCCCTCAGAAGCCCCGGGCCCATGCGATGAAGGCGAGCATCTGCAGCCAGTAGCATAGGTCACTGTGTCTGCAGGCTTCTGGGTGTGATCTGCTTAGTAACAGGGGGGGTTTCTGAGGGGCAGGATTACTGGGTAATCTTCCAAAATGAGGCTTATTGCACTAAGAGTTGAAGCAGCTGACTTGAGCCACTTTCAAAAATGAAAACCTTCTTAGTACAGCTGTTTCTACCCACTCACAAGTCTGCTTTGAAAATATTTCAGTACATCTAAAGACTAAGGCAAATGCTATTGTCCTTGGGGGTGCCTCTCTTGGAGAGAGCAGCCAAGAGCACAGTGCATTAAGTAACCTAAATACCTCTGAACTTTAGGGATTAATTGAGTCAGTACAGCTGATAAAAGTTGTGGGACAGCTTCCTGATACTTGGCAGTGAAGAGAACTAGTAAGCAGGAGGATTTCAAGCATCAGAGGGAGTTGTGAAAAAGTGAAAAACATAAGGTCTTTGGGGGGGGGGGAAGGGGAGAACCAAACTCTCATTTCTTACAGCGTATTTGTTACAGAATAATGGCGCTTCTCTTTGGGAGCTTGACTAGGAAAACAGATGAAAGCTGCTTCCTTGCACTTAATGCTCTTAAGAGTATTGTTGTTTGATCTCCTCTGCAGTTACACAACATGAAATCAATGGGAAAGAACACGAAGTATCCAGTAGTGCTCTTAGCTCTGTTTTTCTGAAGAGGAAAATACCTCCACAGCAAGGTTGAGTGGTCCTCTGCTGTGGCAAGTTTCTTCAGGCTGAGTAACCTAATACAGTATTATAATGGTGTAATTTTGTATAATGTAGAGTCTTGCATTTTTGCTTCTGAATTTTGTGACCTTTTTCACAAATACTAGCAATTTGGCATATTTTTGCTGTTTGATTAGTGTCAAGTGAAATGAAAGGAAATCAATTAATTAGCCTCACGCTTACAAGTTCAGCTTAATGTCTCCAAAGTAGGAATTCACAATGTGCAACACTCGCCTTGGGCAAGAGACAGTGCTGTTGAAAGCATGTTAGTTTTGGTAATTACATGAGCTTTATTGGCCAGCTACTAGCACTGCACAGTGGTTGGCTTTTTTTTTTCTGTACTGGACTACGCTGTAAGAGGAATGGGTAATGTTGCCCTCCAGTGGCTGATATCTAGAGGATACAGAGCTTGTTTGCACTATCAGTAAAGAATCATTCATTTGGCAAGTCTAGGTTGTAAGAGTAGGATGTTACCTTAGACCTGTAGCCTATTTAAAAAAGACAAGTACCAGTAATGTGCAAGAACTTAAGTGTTCAATGTATTAAGGCTGTATTAGGACTGAAGTTTTTCCCTCAAGCTGTAGTTAAGCAGGACATAATGTCAGGGGGCTCTCCTCTATTCACTGCAAGAGTCCTCTCCAGCCACTGTCTGATCAGATCAGAGTTTGTTGCAGTGTGACCTTAGCTTTGTACAGGACTTGGAAATAGCTGCTGGATTTGGGTTTACGGTAGTTGCTTCTCTGCGTTACCTTTGAATGGACTTTTCAAATAACCCTAAAATAACACTTTTAGTGGATTCTTATGAAATGTTTTCTTATTCTTGTCTGGAACCACCTGTGCTAGCTTGTAAATCCATGGCTTATTTAATAAACTGGTATTCTTATCTAATATATTTACAGCTCAAGTAATGTAAAGTACCTTCATGGCTCAGAATGGAAGGGGAAAGCAGTAAATCTGTCTCCAGGAACCATGGTAATATCTTTGAAGCTTGACAGAGGAAATAGCTAGCTCCTTTCTGTTATATTTTGGCTTTCTTGTAATGCAAAGCTAAATGATGCTTCATAAGGATTCGGGTCACTCCAGACCAGCTGGAGATGCCAAAGGTTTCAGCTTAGAAGCTGTAGGCGTAACACAAAGTTTTTTGCTCTTTTTGGACTAAACCAGAGCCCTACCTCCGAGCACGACCTCCCTCCGGCCCGGCGTGGCCCTGCTGGGCGGGA